GGCATGGAATGATGCCCACCCAAGGGGCCTATTCACCTTGTTCAGAAAGTACTTCTCTTTCTGCTTCCTTGAGGCCTTTCTTGCCTCAACTAAAGGAAGGCTATCCCAATTTCCACCAATATCCCAACTCACCGAGAGAGTCTTTCTCTTGCCATAGGATGACCAAGGTTGGGGCTCTAGGACCAGGATGCCCCCAGGACGTAGATGCCGGTAGATCCGGCGAAACATGCGCTTTAGCCCCTCATCTCCCCAATTCAGATGCACCCACTTGGTGAGACTGAGGCAGAGCACCACATCATACTCGGGTGTTTGGGCCTCCACCAGTTCATCTCGATCCAGGACATAGTTACCCTGAGGGCAAGAATTGGTAGCAAGGTCAACAGAGGCAATAAAAAGAACCACTGCTCCCACACAACCCACCCTGTAGCCCCTAAGACAAAGTCCTACAGCCTCACCTTAGCCCTTGGCCACAATCTTCTCTGACACTTGTCAGACTAACTCCCAAATGGTGCCCTCTTTGAGTCTCATTTTCTTTTTGTAAAGTTTATTTTCAGAGAAAGAGAGAGAGGGAGGGAGAGAGTGAATGAGCACGGGAGGGGCAGAGAAAGAGGGAGAGAGAATCACAAGCAGGCTCTGCACTGTAAGTGCAGAGCCCAACAAGGGGCTTGAACTCACAAACTGTGAGATCATGACCTGAACTGAATTCCAGAGTCAGACTTTAACCGACTGAGTCACCTAGGCACCCCTCCTCCCCTTTTAACTTTAAGTAGGCTTCATATCCAACATGGGGCTTGAACTCCCGACCTAGAGACCAAGAGTCCCATGTTCTATCAACTGAGCCAGCCAGGGGCCCTAGGTCTCATTTTCTTGCTTTCCACCCTCCTGCCCTTTCTACTGGTGGTAAGCTAAACATAAAAAGGGAGGCTGGATATTTTAAACTGAGCAAATTACCCACGAGGTCTCCAAAACTGGTGTGAAACTTAAGAGAAAAAAACACAGGTTCTCTGAAGACTCCATCCAATACTTATTCCTACCCCACAAACATTAAACTGAGTTACTCAACGTCAATGCAAAAAGACCTAATTCAGGTTTCAAAGGAAACCTGTGGTTCCTTCCCTGTAGTTGAGGCTGGCAGAGTTCTAGGCCTGTTTCCTTTCTCTGAGAGAAGAGCCCCATCCCTTTGGAAACCTTTTCTAGATGATAAGCTCATCAACACCCTCTGCAAAGTCCATTCTTGCAGGCTTAACCCAACACATCACCAACTGTTCCTGCAGATGGCCTGACTGGAGTGTTTTATGGAGAGCTATGTGCAGTCAGGAGCTAGACACTCTTGAGACTCAATACCCTCCCCTCCTGCAGAAGACTCTGACTCTTGCCCATCTCACCATCTAGGGTCAACATGAGATGATCTAAGGCCAAGACACTTAGAGTTCTGCCCACCAATACTCTTCAACCAAATCTGGATCTAAGTCCCTCTCAAAATATTAGTCAGCCACTACCCTCCTCCTCTTCCCACCCCAAGACATTCCATGTCTGACACCTATCCTTTCATGCACCTTCATCCAGTGGGTTGGAGAGCAAACTTTCAGTCTGGACCAAATCTTATACTAGAGAGCATCAGCAACATCCCCCAAGGGAAGGTGGACTGGTCTGGATTACAGTCTAGGCCGGGAGCAGGGCAAAAGGAGTTGGACCCCATCTTGGAGCCAGTAGTCATGACAAAGGAGCCCAGGTAGAGCTCCCAGTTTTCCAGGTTATAGGAGGAGAGAGACACTCAGCAGAGGCAGTCACAGATTCAGACCCTTCTCTTGATCTGGTTCTCTCAGCAAGGAGTGCATGCAGAAATCTCTCTGGGTCATAACTTTCCTGTCTTGTTCCCATTTAATCTCATCTTCACACCTGGCCCCTATCCCAAGAGCCTTCATACCCCCTTACCGTGACGAAGACAACATTGTTGGGGAAGACTGATGTGTCTGCTCCATCCAAGGGCACTTGGGGTGCGGCAATGGGACCCCGGCTGGCTGTCAGTGAGGCTGGGAAGCAGCTTCTCTTTCGGACAGTTGTGGTCCCTTCCTCACTCTCTGCCTCTGGATCCCCATCAGAAGTCTGGGGTGGCAGACGCAGCTCCTCTGACAGGTAGTGTCGGATGTTTTGGCGGGCAGAGTGGATGAGCCGGGAATCGATATCCAGGCCCACCATGAGGGATGGGCCCCACTTACAGGCAATGCTCAGGGTCAGGTGGCCCACATTGCAGCCCAGATCTAGGACGTCCCGACCCCGAAACCACTCAGGCTTCAACACTCGCAGGCGCCCATCCTCACAGGAAGGATTGCGGTAACCATAGTACTTGCAATAATTCCCATACTGGAACTTGCACTGTTGCTTTTTGAAGATTGCTGCAGGTAGTGGGTAGAGGTGGTGGTGGCGGCCTCCCCCACTCCCTCGGCCCTTTTCTTTAGGAACCTGGCCTCCACCCCTAGCCCCTGCCTCTGACTTGCTGGAAGTCCTGCGACGTTTGCGATGTCGTGAGGAGGAGGAAGACGGGGGTGCAGAGGTAACTGAGGCAGCTGGAGGGGCTGAAAGGGAGCCTGAGGGACCCTGTAGGGCAGATGGAAGGGGAGACACGACCTCATCCCTGCAGTTGATGGCTGTGTTGAGTTCATAGGGCTGGGGGGCATCCCGGTTCTGGCCCCTATGCCGCTGCTGCTGTGTGGTGCCCTCCCCCTGGAGTGAGGGAGTGAGGGGGGCTGCAGGGAGCACAGAGTGGCTATCATTCCCTCCAGTTGCCTGCTGCTGCTGGTGGTGCTGTCCCCGGTGTCTATGCCGCTTCCGACCAGTCTTGAGTGGCGATGCAAGCACTACCTGGGCCTCATCAGTGCAAGTATTAAGACTGAGCGGGTCAGTAATATCTTTGGGGATGAGGATCTCCACTGGATCTCGCCCCTTGGCCGGAAGTGGAGATGACTTAGGGGTCTCTGCATTGAGTGCGCGGCTCACTTCCTCATCCAGGAGACTATTCAGGTTCAGTGGATCAAAGATATTGCCCCCCAGGAGAAAGTTGGAGGGTAACACAGAATCACAGTCTGAATTAACCCGCCTGCGCCTCTTGAAGGCCGGATGTTTGAAGCCTCCACCACCCCCTCCTACATTACAACTGTTTCTCCTCTTACCCCCACCTCCCCCAGGGGGCCGGTGGGGCTGATAGCCATTACGGGGCCGAGGAGGGGCAGGGGGGCCCAGTTCTGTCCCGCCCCCTCCCCGTCGCTCCTCCCCCACGTCAGGGGGAGCGGCTCGCCCGTGGGGATCGGACAAGCGGGCCTCCCCGTGCGACTGCGCCTGGGGGCTGTCCTCTCGATGCTGCTGCGACTGGCCTCCCCGAGTGGATGTAGCCCCAGAGCTCTCCTTGCCAGCCCCAGAAGCCGGGGCCCCTGCCGAATGCGCGCGAGGGCCCGGCCCACGCTGCGTCCCACCGCAGAGCTCCCCGGAGGCAGCCTCTCGGTGCGGTTGCACCGTGGGGCCGCCCCCTCCGCTCGACTCATCTTTGAGCGGCGGCGGCGGGGCCGGCACCAGAAACGGCTCCTTCTCCGCCGCCATCTCGATCATTTCCTCCCCTTATTCCGTCCCAGGCGAGGGCAACGAGGAGGGGACTAGGGGGCTTAACCCCCCCTCCCTAGAGCACGCTCCCTTCCCCCTTCCCCGAGTGCGCGCGCAGCTCCGCTCTTCTCGCCTAGTCTCGCGCCCAAGCGCCTCCCCCGAAGCGCGCCCCACTCGCCCGCGAGACCAAAACAAGATGCCCGCGAGAACCGAATAACTCGAGGAATCAACCGCGCGTGCGCCGACCCCTTTCTCCTCTACCACTACCATACGCCGCGAGCGCGCACTGCTAGAGCGCGTTCCTCTCGCCCCTGAACCACGCATGCGCACACCGCCACCACCCTGGTTGCGCGCGCATCAGAGTACGAACCAACTTAACGGCTCAGGGAGTTTAAATATAGCCCACCTCAGCCCTCCCCAAAGCCCACCACCCCAAACTGACACCCTACTTCCCTTCGCAGCTATGTCCGTCCCTACTGATATCCTTTGTCTCTGCCGCGCGATCCCACCCACCGTAGGCGGGGGACGGGGAGCTGGTGTGAAAAGGTCTCCTTGACACCCGACCCTTGTTCCTGAGGAATGAGTCTCGGCGGTCTCCGCCCGGCTCTAAACCCAGCAACCTCCCCACCCCGCCTCCTTCCTCCCCCTGGCGGGCAGCGCCTGCGCACACCCTTTTGGGCTTGCGCGGGTAGAAACAGCACGTGCTGGAGATGACACCCCGCCCTCCACCCTAGGGGCGGGGACTGTTACGTCGCTTCCTAATATTTGGTTCACGCAAGTGCGTCAGCACGATTCGAAGGGGGCGTGGCCAAAGAGCGGGGCGGACCTCACCTCATGAATTATTCATATTTGCCCCCCCACCTACTTAGAAAATCTTCCCAGGGAACGGAGGGGTGAACCTAAAAGTAGAGAAGAAAAGGAAAGGAGCGTACAGGCGGTTTTCCTACAAACTGTTCTCAGCGAAATACAATAAGTCATTGTAACTCACCCCCCTGAGAAATATTCTCTGCTGAACTGAAAAAAAAAAAGGCACTAAAACAGCCGATGTTGTCCAACTTCCTCTTCCCCCGAAATGGCCGAGTCGTTCTCTCGCTCCTCCGCCTTACCCCAATCGCGATCACCTGAGGATACCACGCCCTCCTCTCCGCCTCCACACTCACAGCCCTGGCACCAACACCTCCTCCCACCACCCGACGCCTGTGTGCGATTCCCCAGCCTGTGGACTGCGATCCGACGCCCACCACGGCCACCAATAGCAGTACACCCACTACTACCACCGCCACCTCGCACGCAGGCCTTCCCAAGCACACGGTCGCTTCGCGCAGCCTTATATAAAAACGAGTGTGGGCGGGGAAGAGGGTTGGTCTGCTTTGGGCCCCCTGCCTCGGCCAATGGGGAAGAAGCTATTCGGCGCCCTCTCCACCGGTTGCGCGTTCTCCCTGTCGCCAGGGCTTAGGGAGCGGGTCCTTGTGGCGGAGAACGCGGGAGAGGCGAGAGTGTGGTGACGGATACTCTCAACTAAAATAGGGCGTGGAAGAAACTAAAGGAAGACTAGGAACCAAGAAACGAAAACGGGAAGGAAAAAGCAGTATGGGGAACTCGGAAAAATTAGTAAACGGAAGATGTGCTTCACGAACGATCAGGCGCTGCTCCTGCCGCCTAAGAAAGTGAGGCCACGGAGCATTATGGGATTTGTAGTTTTACGCGGCATTCGGTTGGAAGATGGCGGAAATGACAGCTGCGCAAACGCTGAAGCAGCTTCAGCTGCGCATGCGCCTCAGTCCCGGGATCACGCCCCTGGGGTGGGAACGGAGCTTGTGCGTGGCCTCGCGCCTTTCCTAGGTGGCGGGAAAGCTGGGTCGGGGTTGGTGGGGTTTGCAGAATTGCTGCAGTGGCTCAGTCTACTCCTCGCCTTTAGGTTTTCCTCGTTCCAGAAGGTAGCTGGTTCTGCTCTGGTTCTAGATGAAAGTGCTGGGCTCTGCCAATCCTGTCTCCTGAGGAAAAGTTTTCTGTTCAGGGCGACAGCCAACTCTTACCCCTCCTTAGAATCTCTAACCCCCGCAAACCTACCCTCAACAAACAAAAGTAACCCAATATCTTGGAGGGCAAGGACGGACTTAGGGGGAATGAAGATCCTGGTGCCTTCTCCAGGGGTGGGGGTGCCGGCGCGGGCGTGAGCGGGCAGCTGAGGAAATTATCTCCTCTTGGGGATTCGTGAGGTGGAGGAGGGGCTGTTTTAGCCACTGAGGGGAGTCGTGGACTTTTGGCTCTGTGGTACCTCTGATATTAATTGCTACCCTTAAGAGAATTGGTGAGAGAAAAGAGGGAAAACGGGGATCGCTAAAAGGTCTAACTGCTGGTTTGAAACGTGGAGTTAGACATTTTACTGTTTCAGACCTTGGCACCCATGTGAGGGGAGATGGAGCGGGGATCTAGGGGTTCGGGGGAATGTGAATACAACACAAAGGCGAATATGAGGTGGGCAGGGGACACCTGTGGAAGTGTTGCCGGCGGCAAGAGTATCAGCACTCAGCAAAGACAACCTGTACTTTGGTGTTAAGTGGCCATATCTTTGTGCTTCCTTGCCCTCTGAACCAATAAGCTTTAGTTCACCGTTAATTTATTTTTTTAAAAAGTTTATTTTTGAGAGAGCATGCGTGTGCGCACGAGTGGGGGAGGGGCAGAGAGGGAGAGAGAGAATCCCAAGCAGGCTTGAGGTGTGTTTGTGGCCGGTGGGGGGGTGTTTGAATCTCACGAGCTGTGAGACCATAACATGAGCCAAAATCAAGAGAGGGGAGCTTAAGCGACTGAACGACCCAGGCACCCCCCCCCCCCCGTAAATTTATTGATAAGATTTTTGTACAGGGTTAATTTAGGTAGTTACCACAGTATCTTGTTATGTTAGGTTGGGGTAGTGAAAGTAGCTGGAATCCTGTTTTTACTCTCTTTCTTGTGAAATCATGCTTGCTGAGGAAGAAAAATAAGGAAATGGGGGGAGGAAAAAAACCCCTATGGTTTTTAATGATGGCATGAGTCCCCTGGCTAGCTCAGTCGGTAAAGCATGAGACCCTTAATAGTGGCATAAAAAGAAGCAGGAGTCCACATGGCATTAGACATTAATGTCAAAAGGAAATCAGATTCCAGTGTAAAGGAGATTTGAAAAAAAGATTTTTAAAAAATGTTTATTTTTGACAGAGAGCATGAGCCGGGGAAGGGCAGAGACAGAGACACAGAATCTGAAGCAAGCTCCAGGCTACAAGCTGTCTGCACAAAGCCTGAGGCAGGTCTCCAACCCATGAACTTCAAAATCATGAACTGGAGTTGGAAGTCTAAGGGACTGAGGCACTCAGGTGCCCCAGCGTAAAGGAGATTTTAAATATAGTTTTCCAGGTTCATGGAGCCCGTGTGGACTGTGTGTCTGAGGACAATTCTAAAGGGTTTGCTTTTATTCTCTTAGACAAGGATTCCAAAAATAATATAAAGAGGGATAACTGGGTGGTTAAGAGACAGAACTTTGTGAACACATTCTAAATAGGGGGAGGAGGATTAATGGTTTTGGAAAAATATTGACAAAACTGAATTGTTATTTAGCTAGATTTCTCAAACTTACTGGTCTCAGAGCCCTCTTATATTCTTAAAAGTTACAAAGGACTCCAAAGATTGTTTTAGAGCTGCATATCTTTCATATCTGTTGATATTAACATATTATAACTTAAACTGAGAAAAATTTAAGTTATTTATTGATTTTAAAATCATAAGTTATAATTAATAATTATATGTTGATGTAAATAATATTTTTATGAAAAACATTTTCCTAAATGAAAGAAAATTTAGTGTGAAGAATGGTGGTGTTTTACAGTTTTGCAAATCTCTTTCATGTCTGGCTTAACAGAAGACAGCTGAATTTTCATGTTTCTGAATTCAGTCTGTTATGATATCTTGTTTTTGGTTGAAATGTATGAGAAAATCCAGCCTAATACAGATAAGCAGTTGGGACATGGAGGGGACCCCCAGGGATCTTTGGATCACACTTTGAAAACTGCTGAGGGAGAGGATTTCATCTTAAAATCACTGTGATGGCTTTCAGTGTTCTAATTGAAAGAAAATCTCTTTTTTGGAACACGTCATTCACCTTCCCTTGGTTGCCTTCATTCATTATTTCTAAGTTATTTTTTTCCTTTTTATTCATTCTTTTTTTACGTTGAGTGGTAGGGTCTGATTTATGGAACTTTTTAAAATTTTCATCCTTAAAGCTTTATTGGATTTCTCCCCTCTCTGTTTCATTTGAAGTAAAAACAAAAACAACAAAACCCCTCAAATGTTATTCCTGGCTCTAGAGTGGCCGGTTATTTAGTGGCTAGTCAGATGAAAATTGGTGGTAGTTTGTGTGCTTATTAACTGTCTGGTTTTAAAAACGTTTCTCTTTTTGCACCATGTTTTAATATTCCTTATGTGGAAGAAGAAAATTCATCTGAAACAGAGGAGCAGAGATTTGAGTTGTCATAAAATGAGTGACTCCTGGCTTTCCCTACTCCATTAATCAGATTAGAGATTTTCTTTAAAAGTAATGTTCGTCATCGCCCTCTACTCTAAGGGGAACTATTATGTATCACTGCTTATAACTTTACTATGTTTTATGAATAATGATCCACAATTTTATCCAGTTGGTTACTGGAGCGCCAGTAACACTCTTTGGCCTAGAGAGGTCAGTATAGGTTTAGATAATTATTTGAACCTAAATAATAGAAAAATTTGCATTTTTAGGTGGATCAGAACTCTTTATATAAGGAATTTGGAATTTAAAAAATCACTTTTAAAGTGGTAATATAAGCATGTTTCAGAATGCTAGAGATATAGAAGGGGGTGTATTAAAAAGCTCTCTTCCACCTCAGCCACCCACTTCTATTCCTTAGAGGTTAGTTTCTTGTGTATCCTTCCAGAGATAGTTTATGGATAAGTTTAAGCATATTATGTAGATGTACATTTAAAAAAATCAAATTTTGTCCTCTAAAATACACTAATTTTCATTTTGCTTTTCCCCTTTTAGAATAGCTCATCTTGTAATTTATATTACCTTCATAGAGACTTATGATCTTTTTGGAATTCTGGAGTCTGGAAAAAGATGTATTTGTCATTTGTGATCAAATCAATATTCATTTTTCAGCCTAACTATTCAATTTCTAGCTTCTATTTGCAATTATCAGAAAGAAGACCAATTTGCTGCAGTGTTTCTTCCTTAATTTCCCACTTGCCTTTTTTCCTAGAGTAAGTAGACCTAAGGGTTGGTGATGATGAGTTAAGATGAAAACAGTGAGAAAATGTGCCCCTCAATATAAAGGAAAGGTAGTTGCTGCAGAACAGCACATCTGAATTTTTCACATTTATAGAAATAAGACAAGGAACAAAAAAATACCAAAAGATAGTTCGAAAATACGTTTGGCCATGCTGTGGACACCACTTAGTCGAGCCCCAGATACCTTTGAATTCATCTTGAGATCTAGAGAGAGGAACTCTATACCCTGAGCAACCAAATGTTCACTCTAATTTTGTCATTCAAGGGTGTTACATTTTTCACCTTTAAAGGGCACATATACATATCTCATATATAAGATCCATTTTATGCTGCTTTGGGGTCTTTTTATAATGGGAGATTACAGTGTTGGAAGATTGAATTTCAGGTTCAGGCCTTCAAATTACTCAAAACCAATAGCTATAAATAAAATCATTGAGAAGAATGGATGTGTTATTAGTAGAATTGGTAGAATTGAGAGGCAAAGGCCTGGGTCATCCTTAACACTGAGGCTTTGGGCAAATCACTTAAGTGCTTTTTGCCCATTTTTTTCATCTGTAAAAAGGGGAGCTGGCATTTTATGACCTCTGCAGACACTCCCAGAGGTACAATACTTGTTATAATTGTTATAAAAATAAGAATGGTATATGTGCTTTAAGCCTAAAGAAAACTGGGTAGAAGAGTTATAAGAAATTTAAGCTAATAAAGGTATTTTTCTTCTAATTGCTGAGTAGAAATACTATCAGTAGTGGAAAGTGTAAACTGGAAAAAATGTATAAATTATTGCAACTTCACAAGAGGAGTCTTGGCATTCTGCTGGGCCTCCAATGGCCCATTGCTGTGTGGAGACAAATCTCTTCAGCCTTTTGTGTGGCTGGATGCCTCCCCATTCCCAACCCTCAGTTTTCTATCACTGTGAAAAATCTGGTCCTTTAGTCCAGAGTATCTGGAAACAGAATTTTCTGTGTTTTTCAATGTGTATTTTTAATGTATGCTTTCCACATGTGTTATAATATCAAAATCGTTGTGAAGCACTGAATTAGACTCTTGGGATATAGCATACCATAGTTAATAGCGCAAACTAAAATCAGGAGCATTCAAATCCTGAATTACCATTTATCAATTACCTATTATCTCTAAATCCCTCTAAGCCTTAATTTCTCCAGGTGTAAAAAAGTACCTAACTCTTAGATTTACTGGGAGAATTAAACAAGATGACATATGTAAAGGGTAAATAATATGATTGGTGCTCAATAAGTGTCACCTGTTTTGATAGTGGTAATGAAGCATGATGTAGTAGAGAACATCTGCAAGTAGGTAGATAGCTACAGGATATAGAGTGAAAGTATTGGATGCCTATGACTAGCTTCTCTGGGGAACGTCTGCTGGTTACCAAATATTTCTGAGCCTTGACTAGAGATTGCTAGAATCCAGTACATCGGAAAATTTATTAGACTAGAAAATCTAAGTAAAGGGAAGATACAGATTATAATGATATTAAAAGGGAGGGTTCTTTATGCATAGGGACCTCTGAATTAGGTCAGAGAATTGCCAGATTATTTGTGTTTTAAGTATTTAGGAAAACCTTGTGAGATGAGTTTATCCTTCTGAAGAACACTCTCATTTTTAACTCTCAGGACTGTTCATACTGCTGCTGCTGCTGCTGCTGCTACTACTACTACTACTACTACTGCTACTACTACTATTAGTACTACTATTTATACTTCCATCTGTTAAAAACAGGCCCCAAAATCAGTTGCTTATGTTAAGCCCATGTCACTAAAACAAGACTAAACAGTTTTGGCTCTCCTAGAAATAGAATTTTGGTTGTAGTCAATCAGGACTAGTTAGGTAATCTGCCTAATAAACCCCTACCTGATCAGCACTAGTTAGGTAATCTGCCTGATAGACTCCTACCATCCCCTATAGGAAAGTAAACTTGCAGTAGCTAATTTGCTTGTTTGCCTAGTATAACTTCTTTGTTCCAGCTCCCTTCTGCCTGTAAAAGTCTTTCATTTTGTATAGCTCTTCAGAGTTCTTTCTGTCTGCTAGATCAGATGTTTCCCAGTTCATGAATCATTGAATGAAGCCAATCAGATCTTCAACATTTACCCAATGAGTTTTTTTAAACACATCACTACCAGTACTGACGAGTGCCTGCCTTATGTTGGACATGACTCTAGGCACTTAAAACTCTAAGGATTGTTGCTAATCTTTAAAACAGTAACTCTCGGATGAGCACTGGGTGTTATATGGAAACCAACTTGACAATAAACTAATAAATAAATTAATTAATTAATAAATAAATAAAACAGTAACTCTCATCATCCCCTGGCATTTGATTGGCACTGCTGAGGAGTTAAGAGTAGAGTCAAGAGGGCAGAAAATGTAGTTCAGGAGTCCCAGGCAAAGATCGTAAGCCCAAGAAGACAGAAGAAAGTTTAAAATCATGTTTATTCAGAGTCACAGCAGTTTATTTCTTTTTTTCTAACAGAGGCACAAAGAAAGTGTAGCTTCTGAGCTGAATGATGGCAATGTTGCAGAGTAAAGAAGGTGAGTCAAGAGTGAGGGAGATTCATTTTTTTTTTGGTACATTTCTCTAATTTTTTCCTTCTTTCTCAGATCTTGGTCATGTAGATACCCTTCCCACCAAAGGGAAGCTCAGTCTATATATATTTGGTATATACTTTTTAAAAGTTATTACTTTTCTAGAAACTTTGAGTGAAATATATATGACTTAGAAGTAGTCCATCTCAAGAAATATATGAACTTGTAGGGAGACAAAGGACATTTAAATATCTACAATACAAATTTGTGGTAAATGCCAGCAGAGAAATATCAAATGTTATGGTAGCTCAGAAGAGAGAGATTTATACTTGGGAGGATCAATGTAATTTTCATTGCACTAGTTTTCTTTCTTTCTTTCTTTCTTTCTTTCAATACCTCTGATTTCCTGTAAAATTTTGTTTAAAGTTAAATGAGCAGATTTTTAAAATTTCACATTTGAATAATTTAGCTTCCTGTATGTTTATATTTGTCACCTTTGAATTACTCAGTAGTTCCTAAACCTGGCATAATAATCTAGAAGGCCTAGATTCCTAGGCCTCACTCCCAACTATTTATTCATAATTTCAGGGGGTGGGGTGGGAGTGGAGAGGCCTAGTAATCTGATTTTGTTAAAAGCTCTCCATATTATTCTGATATGGCCAGTCAATGGGCAGTGTAGACACTTTCTGTGCTAGACTATGTTTCATAAATTCCATTTGATGATCAAATTTCTTTCAGAACATGGGAAGGGCTCAAAGAAAACCTTTGCCCCACCTGCACAAAAAATGCATAGCCTGATGTGCTATAGCCCTAACTCACATAAGGAGGAGACCCTGGAGATCAGTTCCTCAAAGGCCAGGTTAGAGAAGAAGGAAGAGAAAGCAACCACAGAAAACGGTCCAAGCAGTGGCAAGAGAAAAAAAGGAAAGGCTCAAGACAAGCAAGCAGAGAAGAAAGAAAAGGTATCAGTCTCGTTGATGGGCTCTAGTGGGGTAGTTTCTTCTAGACATCCAGTCTAGACAATCTTTTCATGTAGGGGAACTCTATCCAGTACTTTGTTTTTATTCCTCTTCTGGGGGTTCTGTTTTCTTCTCAAAGAGGTAAAAAATATTTTGAAGAAAGCCTTTATCTCAAAATAATTAGTGAATAGGGGTTGAGGTGGGATGGAGGTGAGAGTAGATGTGGTCAGAGGCTTTGTAAACTTTTCCTTTTCTTTGACTCCTATATTCCCAGGAAATCTGGGACACAGTTTATAGAATCCTTAGGGACAGTACTCTCAGCCTTGTGAACTTACTGGCTGATCTAAACGCTGGTCAGGGAGGAGATCTGGGGAAAGATGAATGGTTTTACTTCTCTGCCCTTATCTCTGCAGGAAAAATTGAGTCTCACCAATGCAGAATTTGAGGAGATTGTCCAGATTGTGCTACGGAAGTCCTTCCAGGAGTGCTTGGGTATGGCTTATAGTGAGAGAAAGACTTTCAGTTTGACAAACTGTTATCTGAAGGAGTAGAGTAAGTTGAGCTCTTTTCTCCTTCCCTCCAGTTTCCTTTAAGTAAGGAAATATTCGATGGCTTTGAAATATTTTTAAATATTTCATCTATCTACAGAACTATAGATAAACTACCTTATGGGGTACAGACTTCTAGAAAAGTAGATTACATAGACTTCAGAATATAAATACAGTCTCAGATAGTTTTTTAAAATGTAACTTAAATTCACCTTTACATTTTTACAGTCTACTTAGAAAACATAAGTTTTATTTACCAGATTGGAAGAACTTAGTTTCCATCCACCCTCATGTGTTTGTTTCCAATACTGTTTTAACATATGCTCAGGGATTTGATATTTGGAATAAATAACTCTACAGTGTACTCCTTGAGGATTTTGTCATATGTCCTGAGGATAAGGAGAATAGTCTGATGTTTTCAGCTATTAGGTGTACTTCTATTCCAAGAGAAAGAAGTTCCTCAGACTTTCTCTTGGAACCCCCAAGAAAGGAATAAAAAAACCTGAAAGTACAGGATAAAGTTCCCCTACCTGAAAAGATTGAGGAACAAATGACATACAACACAGTACATAAAAATTTTTTTATGGACACAAAATAAAATTGACATTACTTGGCTATCCTGGAATGAGGCAGATCAATCTGGAAAGGCTTGCCAAAAGATACAGATTTGTAGTTTTTCCTGAGAATCTAAAGACTTAAAGGCCTATGATATGACAAAACTCCAAAGGTGGGCTCTTCCAGGCAACATTTTAATGGAAGGTTGCAGTTTGGAAATAATGGAGTCATTATATTCTTTAATTGCTTCTCTGCTTATGGTATTTTGTTTTGGGAGAGATGGGATCTATTCTTGATTTTTCAGAGGCTTCCTGTGCCCAGCCCATAAGACGTACCCAGTTAGAAAAGGAACCAGGAATTGCTCCTTCTACTGATAATGATAACGCTGATGGGTAAGTTTATCCCAGTGAGGCCAGTTGATCACAGGGTAGACTTAGCATTGGTAAATGGTTACCTATCTAGTAATTTTCTTTCTCTCTTTCCTTTTAATTTTATTTTTGAAAGGGAGAGATGGAGCGTGAGCAGGGGAGGGGAAGAGAGAGAGAGGGAGATGCAGAATCCAAAGCAGGCTCCAGGCTCTGAGCTGTCAGCAGAGCTGGATGTGGGGTCCAGTCCCACAAGCCATGAGATCATGAGCCAAAGTAGAACACTTAACTGACTGAACCATCCAGGTGCCCCAAGTCTATCTAGTCATTTTCATATCTGTATGGATTTCTCTCAGCTCGGGAAAGATACCTGTTTGAATTGGGAAAAGTAGACGAGTAGATGGGTAAAATGGCCTCAGAAGGCTGTGGAGAACCTAGGATTCTTCTGTCCTCCTGACTTTTATCCTTGGGTTTTTTCAAATAAAGGGTATGACAAATGGCTCCTTTTTGCCTTTTCATTAAAGAGAAAATCTTATTTTTAGAGAGAAGGTAATGGTACCTCATATTCTAGAGATTTCAGCCACTAAGGAAGCTGGAGTAACCTCTGTGATAAAGACATCTAAGCCAGGCCAGCCAGATCCTGCACTGTCTGAGGATAAATTCAATAGATTCTCCGTAAGCAAAGGAAAGAAGAGAGCCTGTAAGTATAGTCAGATCTACTTTGACATCTGGCTCAAGTACTTATTCCATAAAATTAAGGGATGGGACAGTGGGCAGGCTGAGAATTTTCAGCCCAAACCTTGAAACTATTAAGCTATGATTCTTCTTCCTTCCCTCACTGGCCTTCACTGTCTACAGAGATTCTCTTCATCTCCCTACCCTACAGTGTTTTCTTTTGTCTTCCCATAAGATGAGAAAATGGAGAAACCCCAAAATGGATGTGACCCCAGACAGAAAGCTCAACTGAAGAAAACAGTTCAAAATCATTCTCGGATAAGAAACCAACAGAAAGGAGAAGGCAGTGGTTTTGGTGAGTTCAGTGTGATTTGGAAAACCTATCTGGGCTTGAAAATTGGAGATGGAGGACAGAGGCAAGGGTTAGGTTGCTAGAGGAAATTTTGCAAACATGGTAATTTATCTCTCACAGCTACTTGTCAGAGATACACTGCTGTGGAAGAGAAGGATTTCTTTATTCAGTTATTTGTCATATTATCCATAGTTGTTGGATGCCTACTGTGTACCAGGTATTTTAGGAGGTGCTGAGTAAATGAAGAAGAAATTAGTATATGCCTGTTGGAAGGGAAACAGGTTTGTGAGGAAGGCAAATAGGAAAGCTATAAGGTGGGAGTAGATCTAAAAAAGTTTCCAGGAAACTACTTGAGCCATGTGTTGGAAGTATCATTTAGTCAGGTGAACTGAGGTGGGAATGGGGGTCAGAGTGATATTTATTGGCAAAGTTATGGAGGAGAGTTAATGGTTGTAGCTTTTAGGTATGTTGAGGGGAGGTAGGAAGTTGTAGGGGAAGATAAGGTTATAGGCATGCAAGGGCCAGATCATAAAAGGCCTTACATTGCCAGGCTAAGGAATTTGAATTTTATTAAAAAAATTTTTTAATGCTTTATTTCTGAGAGAGAGAGAGAGCGAGAGAGCGAGCGAGCGCTAGCGTGAGCAGGGGAGGGTCAGAGAGAGAGGAAGACACAGAATCTGAAACAGGTTCCAGAGAGAGAGAGAGAGACAGACAGACAGACAGAGACAGCTAGTGTGAGCAGGGGAGGGTCAGAGAGAGAGGGAGACACAGAATCTGAAACAGGTTCCAGGCTCTGAGCTAGCTGTCAGCACAGAGCCCGACGTGTGGCTCGAACCCATAAACCATGAGATCATGACCTGAGCTGAAGTCGGACGCTTAACCGACTGAGCCACTCAGGCGCCCCTTGAATTTTATTTTAAAGGTAAAGAGGAACCATTGACCTCTTTGGGGGAAAGTTGGTAAGATTTGTATTTTAGAAAGCTCACTCTGCCACTGGCATGGGAGATGGATTGGCGGGAGCATGACTAGACCCACAGAAACAGTGATCCAAGCTAGGAAGTAAGCATTAGAGGTGAAGAGGAAGAGACATATTTGAGATCTTTAGGAGGAAAGATCAGTATGATATGGTTGCCAGTGGGATCTGAGGATGATCCTGTTTTCTGACCTAAGTACTGGAAAGAACCATCAATTGAAATGGAGAATATAGAAGAAAGGGCACATTTTAAGATGGTGAATTCAGCTTTGGACAAGTTAGAGAGGATCTGTGATGAGCTTTAGCATCTAAGAAAGAGGTCCCGGCTAAATACAGGTTCAGGAATCATCTGCATTAGTAAGAATAGATGAAATTTCTAAGAGGAAGACGTGGAGTGCAAAGAGAAGAACAATGAATAGAAGACCCATAATGTTTAGGGGGAACATAATGTTTAAGGTTAAGCAGAGGAAGAGCTCCACAGGAAGAAAACTAAGAACTAAGAAAAAACTCAGAAAGATAGAATCTAGGAGAGTATGGCATCACAGATGCCAGGGGAGGAGAGAATTTCAAGAAAGAGGAAGTGTTTAGCCTTGTCTAGTGCTGATACAGAGACATCAAAGAGCATAAAAATTTGAAAATGCTCAACCATATTGCAGTTAGGAAGTCACTAGGGTCTTAATTAGACCATCCATATGCCCAGATTAGTTGGTTAAAGAAAAAGTACTTTTTTCAGTTAGTTTTAGTTTACTTTAATTTTTAAATGTTTTTTTTTTTTAATGTTTTATTTATTTCTAGGAGAGAGAGAGAGACAGTGTGAGCAGGGGAGGGTCAGAGAGAGAGGGAGATACAGACTGAAACAGGCTCCAGGCTCTGAGCTGGCAGTCAGCACAGAGCCCGACGCGGGGCTCGAACCCACAAACCGCGAGATCACGACCTAAGCGAAAGTCGGACACTTAACCGACTAAGCCGCCCAGGCGCCCCTTTTTAAATGTTTTTTTAATTTATTTTGAGAGAGATAGAGTGAATGAATGAGCAGGGGAGGGGCAGAGAGAGAGAGAGGAGAGACACGGAATTTGAAGCAGTCGTCAGGCTCCAAAGTGTCACCACAGAGCCTGATGTGGGGCTTGAACTCACAAATGGTAAGATCATGACCTGAGCCGAAGTTGGATACTTAACCAACTGAGCCACCCAGGCAGCTCTATTTTATTTTATGTTTTAATGTTTGTTTATTTTTGAGAGACGGTGAGCGGAGGAGGGGCAGAGAGAAAGGGGGATAGCGGGCTCTGTGCTGACAGCAGAGAGTTTGATGCAGGGCTCAAACTGACAAACAGTAAATTCATGGCCTAAGCCAAAGTCAGACACTTTACCACTTAACCAACTGAGCCACCCAGGTACCCATTTACACTTTCTTTTTAATAAAATAGACTTGGCTTCTGTGTCATGAGCATATGTATAAACTGAAGGAAAATTGTTTATAAAGGAGGAGAGATTAAAGGGAATGAGAAGAGAGACAGAAGGCTAATTCTTAGTCAGAAAGAACACCCTAGCCTTTGAGATTGGATGGAGGGCAGATAAACATGGATATAGATTTATTTATTGTTATTTTTTTTTAATGTTTTGTATTTATTTCTAGGAGAGAGAGAGAGAGAGACAGCGTGAGCAGGGATGGGTCAGAGAGAGAGGGAGATACAGACTGAAACGGGTTCCAGGCTCTGAGCTGGCAGTCAGCACAGAGCCCGACGTGGGGCTCGAACCCACGAACCGCGAGATCATGACCTAAGCGAAAGTTGGATGCTTAACCGACTAAGCCACCCAGGCGCCCCTAGATTTACTTATTCTTTTAACAGTAGTTATTAATGCCTTATGTTCTATTCCAGGCATTGTGCTAGGTACTGGAAATATAATGGTGAACAAAACAGATAACCCTTTCTTTCATAGAAGTTACCATTTTAGTGTTTCAGGTAATAAACAAATAAAGAAAATAACCATGGTGATATTGGGAAATTTTAAAGTGTTTTTCTTTTAAATTTTATTTATTTTGAGAGAGAGTGAGTATGTGTGTGGGAAGGGGAGAGAGAGGGAGAGAGAGAGAATCCCAAGCAGAGAATCTCTGTACTGCCAGCACAGAGCTTGAGCTCATGAACAGTGGGATCATGACCTGAGCCAAAACCAAGAATTGGACACTTAACTGACTGAGCCACTCAATTGCCCTAGTATTGGGAAATTTTAAAACAAAAAATAAAATATATCAAAAAATATGTTAGTATATTTAAATTTTTGAAAATAAATATACTTCACAGTCGGGGGGGAAACAGGCTTGCACCAAAAACAGGCTTGTACATACTTGAAAGAGAACTCTAGGAAGACTGTAGGCATCTCACAAGGTAGTCCAAGGCAATAAACTACTTTGTGTATTATAATAACATGGTAACATGAGGAACCAGAGATGTATGTCTAATTTGGGAAGTTGGGTGGCCTGGGTGATGTTGTTCCATCTCCTGCACCTGTCGGTATCAGGGCAAGGACTGGATTTTTTCACTGGAAGAGTCCACTCCTTTGGCAGTGCTTATGGAGTTGAATTGTGATTGTCATGAATGGGTAAGGCTCTTGCTATAAATGAACCACTCTTCCTGTTTCTTAGAATTGTCAAGGGGAGATGAATCCTCCTGCAGTAAGAAGTAGAAAGGGCAGTATAAGATAAATACAATCAGTTTGGGTGAAGTGAAGGAAAAGAATGGAGTGTCATGACAGGAAATAACAGAGACCTAATCAAGATTAGGGCAGTCAGGGAACGCACATGTGAGGAAATGACATTTAAGCTGAAATTTGAAGGAGTAGTAGGATTCGGAGAAAGAGTTTAGGGAAGGTGCAGTTTGGCATATTCCAAGTATTGAAAGGAAGCCAGTGTGATTGGAGTTCAGAGAGCAAGGGGAAGCAAGGCAAGAAAGTGGCTCTGGATTAATGTACAAAGTGAGAATTTTATCCTAAGCGCATTGGGAAGCCACTGATGAGGTTTTTTTAAAATTAATTTATTCATTTTTTAGAGAGAGAATGAGTAGTGGGGGGCAGAGAGAGAAGGGACAGAGGATACAAAGCAGGCACTGTGCTGACTGCAGTAAACCCAATGTGGGAGTTGAACTCAACAAACCTCGAGATAATGACCTGAGCTAAAGTTGGACACTTAACCAACTGAGCCACCCAGGTGCGCTGAGCCACTGATGGGGGATGACATCATCATGTTAATGTTTTACTACTTTTTAAAATATTTAAAAAATGTTTTATTTATTTTTGAGAGAGAGAGAGAGAGAGAGAGACAGACAGACAGTGTGAGCAGGGGAGGGTCAGAGAAAGAGGGAGACACAGAATCCGAAGACAGGCTCCAGGCTCTGAGCTGTCAGCACAGAGCCCGATGTGGGGCTCAAACTCATGAACTGTGAGATCATGACCTGAGCTTAAGTCGGATGCTCAACCGACTGAGCCACCCAGGCGCCCCATCATATTAATGTTTTAAAAGACTCCCTTTGGTGATTAATCAGAGAATGAAGTATGTAGTGACAAGAGTAGACAGTCCTAGGATTAGATACCCTGATGGCTTAGAAGAGGATGTTGAAAGTGGAAACAGGGGCGCCTGGGTGGCTCAGTCGGTTAAGTGTCTGACTTCGGCTCAGGTCATGATCTCACGGTTCATGGGTTCGAGCTCTGCATCGGGCTCTGTGCTGACAGCTAGCTCAGAGCCTGGAGACTGCTTTGAATTCTGTAACTCCCTCTCTCTCTCTGACTCTCCCTTGCTCACACTGTCTCTCTCTCTCTCTCTCTCAGAAAAAAAAAAGAATTGAAAGTGGAAACAGAAGTGGATGGTTTTAAGATATGTTTTATACTTAAACTTGTCAGAACTTGGTAATGAATTGGATATGGGAGGATGAGAGAGAGGCAAGAGTATGTTAAAGATCATCAGTTTCTGGCTTGAGCAGTTACATGAGAAGAGGTGAGGAAAAGTAGGGGAAGAACAAATTTGTGGGATAAGCATTTTGGGTTTGGGCCCATTAGGTTTGAGATTTTTCTGAGACATCCAAATGGTGATTTCAAAGAGCAAGGTGGCTGTAGGAGTCTGGAACTCACAACAAAAGCTAGAAGTATCATCCATCTGTATGGTCAGGTGTGAAGATGGGTTTCAGACCCATAGGGGTGGTGAGCTTGCCTTAGGAGAAGTGTAGCATGAGGAGCAAAGGCCCGTGACTGGGCTTTGGAACCCCAGTATTTAGAGACTGAATGGAATGAGGAGGGAGATGCCAGAATGATGGGGGGAGGGGTAAATAGAAGAAGGGGGAATTATAGAACCCAAGGAAACTGGTGTCAACTGAAATGCTCGTAGTATGTCTGTGACATCAGTCTTCATTATCATAGAGCTGTGTCATGAGCCTCAAGCAGTTGCTGGAGCATATCATCCTCTCTTCTAAGTTGTTTGAGAGGAAGTTTTATTTTATTTTTTTATTTTGTTTTGTTTTGTTTATGTTTATTAATTTTGGGAGAGAGTTTGTATGCATGCAGGAGCACAGAGGAGGGACAGAGAGAGAGGTAGAGAGAATCCCAAGCAGACTCCAGTTAGTACAGAGCAGGAGGTAGGGCTCGATGTCATGAACCATGAGATCATGACCTGAGCCAAAATCAAGAGTCTGACGCTTAACCAGCTGAGTCACCCAGGAGCCCATGAAAGGAAACTTTAAAGAACTATGTGTTTCTTTTATTGGAAATTTTATCTCAAGCCACAAATACCTAGTTCTATATCATTAGGATGACTTTTTCCTATTCATTTTGTCATGAATATTTATTATTTTCACAACCAACCATTTATTTTATTGATCTTTGTTTACTTTTATGGTCCCTGGCCCCTTCTCCCACTTTTTTTTTCTAGTCTTGCTAGGTCACCTCTATAAACATCAAAAACTGTTACTGGGAACTGCCTTTTTGTTTTGGTTTGGTTTGGATTTTTTGGACAGTATTGTTTTGCTTTCAATTATACAAAGTTTCCAGACTTTGTATTATCATATCAAAGATACAAGATACCAGCATGTGTGACCAGAAGAAAACCAGGTAGGGAGCCAGCACAGAAGGTTCCAGTGGACCTGGGCCAGCTTGGCCAGTGCAGAGTCCTGCTGCTACTTGTCTGTCCATTGGTTCAGAGGCAGGGCTGGTGGGTGGCTTGGTGGATGCCCTCACAGGAGGCCTGTGCATGACTCAGATCCATGGGGGGCTCTCTGTGGATAACCCTGCACATTAGCTTCCAGCTTTGAATCATAGTGTTTCTGTCTCGGTCCTTGGTCAACTTTCTCTGGTTGCTGTGGCAGAAGGTACAGATCAGTTTGGGCTGGATGTTCTTGCCATTACGGGTTGGGGGTAGTGGGGGCAGCAGTGGGTGGATGCCCAGGTGGCATTGTGGAAGAAGGCAGGCCTGAAGTGGCACAGTTGGCTACTGGATGCCGTAGGCCTTACCTACCAGCAGCCTGGGAGGTGCTGGTTTCCGTGGCAACCCAGTGGCAGCTGTGGCGCTGAACACACGTGTGTGCCCCAGGCTGGGCAGCTGTCTTTTCAGACTAACGTATCACTCCCGACCAGTATTTTTTTCTTCAAAATAAAGTAATACAAACTTTAAATATGAGATATTTTGAAAGGACCCAAAGGTAAGTCAGCTGCTTCTCTGAGGGATGATTTCAGTGAGGTGGAAGAGCATCCCTTATGTTCAGGCATTTAAGGTAAAACTTGACAGCCGGAGAATGAACTTACTTGGAGAAACATATTGTTTGGTTTTGTTAATTGTAGTCCTAGTGTGTATACTATGTGCATGGTTATGCACTGTTTCTTTAGCAATGCTCAGTTGAATGAATGTAGGCACAGAAAAGGTAGCATGTGTTCATTCTGGGTTATGTTTGGCCCGCTGAGTGGGAGGAAGGACAGAGGGCAAGGGAGTTGAAGATGTCTGCATTAGAATCTAAGGAGTCAAACCTGAGTAAGAACAGAGTGAATAAAGGAGGTTGCCACTAGATTGGCAGGAAGAGGCCAGTAGATTGGTGATCTGGATAAGGGTCTTTGAGCAAGTGAGATGGGAGATGGGGCATTTTTATCAGAGAGTGATGTTTGGATCAGTGCTTCAGGGGGGTGTATGGTTCCTAAGGATAAATGGGTGGAGCATGTAGGAGGAGAAGTGCATCACTGAAATGGAGTGTGTTACTGAGGTGGCATAGAGGAGAAGGTCAAGGAGCTCAGAGAAAAGGGTGCTTTGTGAGTTACCCCTGTGAAAACAGTGGTTGCATGGAATGAGGGCAGGAGGTGGAAGGAGGAGGAGAAGGCTGAACCAGATGTCAGCATCTTTCCAAGGGAGATGAGAGGGTGGCGTAGTCCCATGGCATGGATCTCTAGGGAGGAAGGGTTTTTATGGGAAGGAGGATAGTAAAGGTCTGACAGTGGTGATGAGGAGTAAGGATGATGTTGACCCCACTCTCTGGCCTGGGGTGTGTGAGGGAACAGACTCCACTTAGATAGCTGTGGGTGGGGTGAGGTTGGGCAGAGGCAGTGTCATCAGTGCATCACCAGGTTCCAAAGAGGAGATGGATGTTCAGAGAAGAAGTTGAAGATACGTGAACTTTTTGTTACTCTTGTCTAGAATTCCAGAGAACATAGTGGAGGGTTTGGGATGGAGAGAGGGAAGGCTGTGAGGAAAACTGGGTCAACTTAGAGGATGTTGGGATAAAGAAAGGTGGGGATAAGAGTTTGGAAGGTAATGGATAAAAGGAATGCTTGGTCTTTGAGCAGGCCTGAAGTTAATAGTTGATTGAGTTGATAGACTTATCTCTGTATTTTGGAGGAGGGTTCTGAAGACTCTATATAGTGATTGGTGACAGGTAAATCAGTTGAGATTCAGATAGGAACTCTGGATGTTGTACACAAAAGAGATGCTGGTTAGCCCTTCAAAAGAACTTTCCAGTAGTGACAAGGCCAATGGAGAACAAGGGCAGGCCAGAAAGATGCTGGCCAACCTTTTCAAGAAATGTCAATATACTGGGGAGCCTGGGTGGCTCAGTCAGTTAAGCATCCAATTCTTGGTTTTGGCTCAGGTCATGATCTCATGGTTTGTGGGTTTGAGCCGAGCCTGTGTTGGGCTCCATTCTGGCAGCACAGAGCCTGCTTAGAATTCTGTCTCCCTCTCTCTCTGCCCTCCCCTGCTTGAACATTCTCTCTCTCTCTCTCTTTCAAAAATAAATAAATAAATAAACATAAAAAAAAAAAAAATGTCCATACAGGAAACACTTGATTTTTTCCCTGGGGGGAAGGAGTGATGATAGTATGGCATAGGAGAAAGATTGAGATGTGAGAATGGGATCCAATTTCAGCTCTGCCACCAAGTTAAGACTGATCTTCAGCAAGTCAATTATCTTCTCTGAGCTTAGTTTTCCCACTTATATATCTAGGATTAGACTAGTTGACCCTTAAGGCTCTATGATTTTAGCAAGGGTATATTGATTTTAGTTGGACTGAAGAAGGAAGAGCATATTTTTGTCTCACTTCAGGTTTTTTGTTTTTGTTTTTTTCTGTTGCAGGCCAGTGTCTTGTCTGGGTCCAGTGTTCTTCCCCAAACTGTGAGAAGTGGAGGCGGCTTTGTGGGAACATTGACCCCTCAATGCTTCCAGATAATTGGTCCTGTGATCAGAATACAGGTAGAATGGACTGTAGATTTTTTTTTTCCTTTTTGTTTTTATTTTTCTTCCCTTAGATTATTATGTCATAGATGCAGTTATAATCCCAGGGGTCCTTGTAGTGTTTGGGAGAGAGGAAGGGATCTTCCTTGTCATATCAAGGTGAATCTGGCATAATGGGCTAGAAGAAGACACCCTGAAGAGTTATATTATGGGAGGGATGTGGAATCTAAATGTGCATTCTAAGTGGATTCCATCTTCAGCATTAACCTGATCCTTCTGGTCCTGATTAGGTTATTGGTGTTGGGTTGGTGGATAAGAAGGGATATGGGATACATGGGGAGAAGCGGGTGAGAGAGAGAGAGCCAGTGGCTTAGAATTCTAAATTGTTTGAAATCACGTGGAAGAGATTATGATGATCTAACCCAGCCCAGTTATTTTATGGCTGAGATAACAGAGTCCCAGAGAAATTACTGTCGTGATGTTATATAGATAGAAGTAGGGTCAGATAATGTAGGCCAGGCAGAAGTTTGGAATCTCTGTCTGTACAGTATATGGAGGCAGCACTCTTATTCTAGCCGTAGCTGCATTTACTCTGTGGGTCTTTGTTCTTCATCCATGTCTGTCTTTCAGGTGCCCTTTTGGTCCCACCTGCTGCATATTCTTGTCCTCTCTCCTGCCCTCCTCTAGATTTTTACCTGATGACGTTCTTTCCATCTCTCTCTCTCTCTTTTTTTTTTTTGGCAGACTTGAAATATAATCGCTGTGACATCCCTGAGGAGTCCTGGACAGGGTGTGAGAGTGATGTGGCTTATGCCTCCTACATTCCAGGATCTATCATCTGGGCCAAGCAATATGGTTATCCCTGGTAGGGCACCATAACATAGTCAGAGCATCCTTCATGAACTTGGGAGTGGTAGATTCAAGCAAAGAGGGAAGGAAATAGAAAGCACTTATAATGGAAATGATACCTGCCTTGGAAAGAACAAGGGACGAGGGAAAAGATAAAGTACCAAACTGGGAGGCCTTGAAAGAACGTGTTTTCTAGAGGTTTCACAGTGGAGGTGGTATCTCCCTGGAAAAAAACATCTGACAATTCTACTCTGAGCGGGCAGAAAACAGAAGATGGCTTTATGGCAATTTTATTTATTAAAAAATTTTTTTTAACTTTTTAAATGTTTTTATGTTTTATTTATTTCTGAGAGAGAGAGAGAGAGAGAGGAAGCATGAAGAGGGAAGTGTCAGAGAGAGACACACAGAATCTGAAACAGGCTCCAGGCTCTGAACTAGATGTCAGCACAGAGCCTGACGTGGGGCTCGAACCCATGAACCATGAGATCATGACCTGAGCTGAAGTCAGATACCCAACCAACTGAGCCACCCAGATACCCCTTAAAAAAATTTTTTTTAAATCTTTATTTTTGAGAGAGAGAGAGAGAGAGAGAGAGAGAGACAAAGCATGAGTGAGGGAGGGGCAGAGAGAGAGAGGGAGACAAAGAATGTGAAGCAGGCTCCAGGTTCTGAGCAGCACAGCTCTGTCAGCACAGAGCCCAATGTGGGCTCGAACCACAAACTGTGAGATAATGACCTGAACCGAAATGGGACGCTTAACTGACTGAGCCACCCAGGTGCCCTGATGGCATTTTTAAAACATTGATATATGAGAGAGATATAAAGTAGAACAAAGAAGACTAGAATAGTTTCTTCTTTCGAGATGTCCCTAGTCAGATTTTTTCTAAGGATTGATGAAAAGCCTAGAAGGTTAAGATGCTCTTAGGGCACCTGGGTGGCTCAGTTGGTCAAGCATCTGACTCTTGATCTTAGGGTCTTGAGTTCAAGCCCCATGTTGGGCTCCATTCTGGGCATGGAGCCTACTGAAAAAAAATATACTCTTACTAGGAAGATTCTGAGCTTCTTTGTACACTGATAGGAGTCACTTTAGTCATTTGGTAGTGACTACTGGGGGAGAACAACAAAGAGGGGGTCTTTGAGATCATTTGTTTGCAAAACATATTGTCCTTGTATGTACATGTGTATTGGTGAGTTCGTGCTCTGTTCCTCTAAACCATCTAAACCCTTCCTCTTCTGTCTCCTATACCCATTTGTCTTCTCCAGGTGGCCAGGCATGGTAGAATCTGATCCTGACCTGGGGGAATATTTTCTTTTTGCTTCTCATCTTGATTCCCTGCCGGTGAGTTTTCCTGGCTCAGGTAGGTAGGTTTTCAGGCCAAAATAATGAACAAAGAGTTAGAAACATAGATATAGCCAGAAGACATGAGTAGAAACCAACACTTAGCTAGAATGACAAACACAGAAATAAGTACTCACATATAGAATAAAAACTTGTATCTAATTAAATATTTAGTCATCACTAGGACATTTGTGATTGTGATAAATATGCTTTGGTTAGGATCCCTGATGTCGGAATGGAAGAACAGCAGCCTGAGGTGGGGTAGATGGGTTACATTTATGGCATCAGATGAGGATTCTTCCCTGTGAATCCTCAGTTCTTCCCCTACCTTTTCTGGTTAGAGGGCCAAAGCAAGGAGAAAGACTAGGGACCATAAGAGAACCATTTTTTTTATTTCAGTCTAAGTACCACGTAACATTTTTTGGAGAGACAGTTTCTCGTGCTTGGATCCCAGTCAACATGCTGAAGAACTTCCAGGAGCTGTCCCTGGAGCTAGCTGGAGTGGTAAGCAATCCTTGGGAGTCAGTTGTGATGCAGGGAACTTGAAAATGAAATCTGCCCTTTATTAAACCTGATTTTGTCCCAGGGGAAGCTGTATTGGGAGAAAGTCCCATGTCTGACCAAGTGTGCAAGGGTGAGGTTATTCATGAGGTATGCTTCTTTCTATCAGGTTTGCAGCAGGATAATGATTTTTCTTAGTCTCCTTCCTTGCTGCAGGCAGGGTGCCTTCCTGAAGACTGCAATTTTCTACAGTTTAGCAAAGGCAGGTGTGGCAGAAATGAGGACACAGGTTAACTCAGGGTTTTTCAGTCTTTAGTACTACTGACAACTGACATTGGGACAGATAATTGTTGTGGAAGACTGTCCTATGTATTTTAGAATGTGTAACAGCCTCTCTGGGCTCTAATGGCATCTAGCCAAAGGGTACTACTGCCCTTGGACTCAGTTGTGACAACCAAAAACATTGTCTCTAGACATTGCCAAGTATTTTCTGGGAGGCAAAAACCTCTCTGGTTGAGAAACTAAAAGTATTAACTAAAAAATATTTCCTCCCTATAATCATTTGCAGTCAGCCTTAGAAATGAGCAGAGGGATGCCTGGGTAGCTCAGTCATTTGAGCATCTGACTCTTGACTTTGACTCAGGTCATGATCTCATGGTTCATGAGTTTGAGCCTCCCCCTATAGTACCCCTCCTCCCTCCACCCCCCAGTTGGGCTGTGGTATGAGCATGGAGCCTGTTTGGGATTTCCTTTCCCCCTCTCTTTCTGCCCCTCCCTCCTGCTCCCTTGCTCTCAAATAAACTTTAACTTTTTTTTTTTTTTAACGTTTTATTTATTTCTAGGAGAGAGAGAGAGAGAGAGAGAGAGACAGCGTGAGCAGGGGAGGGTCAGAGAGAGAGGGAGTCACAGACTCTGAAACAGGCTCCAGGCTCTGAGCGGGCAGTCAGCACAGAGCCCGACATGGGCCTTGAACCCACAAACTGCGAGATCATGACCTAAGCAAAAGTCGGACGCTTAACCGACTAAGCCACCAAGGCGCCCCTCAAATAAACTTAAAAAAAGCAAAAGAAATGAGCAGAGGCCTAGCAGCTCTGGGGCCTTTGAAAATCAGGCAGTGAGTATTAAATCGGGCAGCTGGATCTGAAGAAACTTGTGAGAAGCTTAAAAGTGGAATTACTTGAGCTCCTTTAATCTTGCCTTTTCAAATTTCCATGAGATTTACTTTGGAGAGGCCTCCAAAATGTTGGTTAACAATATTGCTAGGAATTGGTGAAAGGTGTTTTGTGGGGTGGGGGATAAAGGGACATTATCTCTCTAAGCCCAAAAGATTAAGAATAGGAGTATCATGTCAATATCAGAAGCCAGAAAAGATCATGCCTGGTGAGTAGCAGTATGTTGGAGTTACTTCTCTAATATTTATCATTGACTCTAATCTTCTTCTATTTCAGAAAAAGTGCAGGAACAAGGATTGCAACCAGAAACTGGGGGCAGCCCTGATGATGGCTCAGGAGGCAGAACAAATCAGTATTCAGGTGGGAGAGCATTCAGACTACATACCTGTTTGTCTTTGAGACTTGGGACACAAAGCAAACCATATACTCTCTACTACAGAAAAGTGGCTTGTCCTTCCCCATCATCCAGTCTTAGTCTTAGAACTACTCTTTTCTTTCCAGGCCAGATTCCCTTAGCTCCTTAAATCATTCTTTTCCCTACCCTTGGACAAATGGGATCTTCTTTCATCCTACATAGAGATAGTCCTACCTCCCTATTTAACTTTAGATCTCAGATGTATGTGTCTTAGCCTCTCTTTTATACGCAGTGTTTACCCTCAAATTCTGCCTTTGGGGGGTCAGTGAAGAATGACAATTATAAGTAAATTGGAAAAAGAGATTATAATAATATATTACAGTATGTAATTATATAACATTATGTAAATATATAATATAAAGTTAATATTATAATGTATTATAGTGGTTACTCTTCATAGAATTTAGATAAACAGAATATGAAATTTCAAGTGAAAATGGTATGGAATATGAATATAAAGTCCATAACTAAAGTCTTTTTTTAAATGTTTATTTATTTATTTTGAGAGAGAGAGAGAGAGCTCAAGCAGGAGAGGGGAGAGAGGGAGGAAGAGAGAAAGAATCCTAAGTAGGCTCTGTGCTGTGTGCTGTCAGCACAGATCCTGATGTGGGGCTCAATCCCATGAACTGTGAGATCTTGACCTGAGCCAAAATCAAGAGTCAGATGCTTAACCAATTGAGCCACCCAGGCATCCCCATAGCTAAAGCCTTGAAGACTGAGGGCAAAAGTCATCCCTGGGAGAATAGTGGATGATGCTTTTGTTTCTTGATTCCCTCAGGAACGGGTTAACTTGTTTGGTTTCTGGAGCCGATACAATGGATCTGACAATAGTCGAGAAGGAAAAGGTAGAATCGGTAAGAGGATAAGGACTAGTGAGGGAGGTGGAGAGAGGATGTAGAGAGGGAGGTGGTCCTTCATGAGGGCAACAACTGAAACTTCATTTTATATCCAATATTATCCACCTAGTTCTGGATTCTATAATAAGAGACTTTCCAGAAATGCCATTGACCAAGTATCTGGGAGGGAGGGATGAATGGAAAGATGGATGGGTGAAGAGAAGACTGGAGACAAAAAGAGGATGATGGGGGAGGGCACATGTTAAAGAGTGGTGGGTATTTGGAAAAGGTGGGAACCATGGTAATCTAGGGCTGTGTTTTAGGGAGGAAATGCCACTGGGACATGAAAGGCAGAGTTAGAAGACTGCTTCTCTGGCATCAGCTCCATTAACTCATCCTCTAATTTATTGGATAAATTCTTTAGCCTTTCTTTCCTATTCCTGCTCTAGACATAATGCTTACTGGGGCTAATAGCCAAGATTCCTGCTTGGAGAAAGAAGGGGAAGAGTCAGCGTTGGAGGAGGTGCAGGAGGAGAAAGAAGAGGAAAAAGTAAGAGTGATCTTGAGGATTCCTTTTAGGAGATTCCTGTAGGTTAGCATGGATTTATGTTTACTAAGGAACCATCCTGTGCCTGACTCAAGGTGGACCTGACTAGCTGGTCTTATCTGTTAGGGGTCTTCAGGGAAGGAGACCCTTTTCTTTCCTCAAGTTATTCTCTCTAATGTCTCACATTTCTAGGAATTTATTTCTTGATTATCATCCCAGGTACCAGTGTAGCTCTTTGGTTCTTACTGGAGCAATTTCAGAGAATAACAGGGTGCCTGTTTATGCTCTCTTCTCCCCTGTGTACACACTTAAGATATTCATTCACTTGTTTCCTTTGGGTCTTTTCAAGCATACAAAATATAGGTTTTTAAAAAATATTGAAAGACTTTTTTAAAGAGTGATTTTAGGTTCACAGCAAAATTGAGAGGAAAGTACAGAGTTCCCAGACCCTGTCTCAATACATGCATAACCTTTCCCATTATCAACACCCACCAGAGTTATGCATTTGTTTCCAATTGATGAACTGACAGTGGCACATTGTAATCACCCAAAGTCCATAGTTTACATTAGAGTTTACTCTTGGTGGTGTTATATTCAATGAGTTTGGACAAATATATAATGATAAGTATACATCATTATAGTATCATATGGAGTATTTTCACTGCTCTAAAAATCCTGTGTGCTCTACTTGTTCATCCCTCATCCTGCAACCACTGACAACCACTGGTCTTTTTATTGTCTACATAGTTTTGGCCACTCCAGAACATCATATAGTTGGAATTATGTAGTATGTACCCTTTTGAGACTGGCTTCTGAGTAATATGCATTTAAGTTTCCTTCATGGATTTCATGGCTTGATAGCTTGTGTGTGTGTGTGTGTGTGTGTGTGTGTGTGTGTGTGTGTATACACACACAATGTATGTATGTGTGTGTGTGTGTATAAAGGACTGTTATCTAAAATATACAAAGAACTCCTAAAACTCAACAGTAAGAAAATAAACAACCCAATTTAAAAAATGGATCAAACACACACGCATATATATATATACACACACAATGTATACACACACACACATATAATATTATATACACATACATATACACCCGCATATATACACATATATACATATATACATTTACATTCTACATTTACATATATATATATTTGCTGCATTTTTCCATTTTCTGGGTGCATCACATTTATTTATCCATTCACTTACTGAAGGATATCTTGGTTGTTTCCAAATTTGGACAATTATGAATAAAGCTGCTATGAACAGCTGCTTACAGGTTTTTGTGAGAACAGAAATTTTCTTTTTTTTTTTTTTTTTTTACAAATAGTTTATTGTCAAATTAGTTTCCACATAACACTCAGTGCTCATCCCCAAAGTGCCCTCCTCCATGCCCATCCTCCCCTCCCCCCCACATCCATCAGTCCTCAGTTTTTGTCAGCATTCAAGAGTCTCTCATGGTTTGCCTCTCTCCCTTTCCCCCACCATTTCCGCCCTTCCACCCTTGTTCCTCCATCAAGTTCCTCCTAATCCTCCTATACGTGCAAACATATGATATTTGTCCTTCTCTGCCTGACTTATTTCGCTCAGCATAACACCCTCAAGGTCCATCCATGTTGCTACACATGGC